CGGATCTCTGGTTCAGAAGGTTTTTTGGATCCGGAAATTATTATTGCTAATTTTTCCTGTTGGCAGAGGTTGCAAATGTTATTGAGGTTGTTGTAAGGCTTCGCCTTTTTTTTAAATTGTCCATCTTATAATCGGATCCCTGCTGTTTCTTTTTTTAAATTCCACACATGTTTAGCTAATTTGGTAGAGAACCTAAGACTTACTAGCTTGAATGACGACCTATGATTGTACCATCTTCGTTTGAAAGAATCTTCAGTACATTCTATGTACGTTTTATTTTGGCCATTAATATCTGTTACTTCTGCTTTATAGATTATTGCTTTGGTTTTACAAGTTCCATCTAATGGACATCTATTTTTATTTCTACAGTTGCATAAATTACTAGTGTTCATTATTATTATTATTATTTCAAACATTGGTCGAAAAGTAAAAGCACACCGCATCATCCTGCAAAACACTGTTTAAAATAAACAGAGCGTCTACTTAAATGCGGCTATTCACTAAAAATAACATTTAAAGTAATAAAAATATGTTGCATAAAAATAAAATACATTAATTCATATCTATATGTGTGTGTGCGTGTTTGTGTGTGTATGTATGTATATGCAAATTTTCTAAACATTAGCGAGCGCAATTAATGTTTCATGTTTATAGTGTTCATTATCATTTGTATTGTAGAAAACCTTTTCACATTTTACAGTCAGGAAAGCATTTATAATAAGAAAAAAATTAACTCCATGCGAGCAACTGAGAACGTGACTACCATTAAGCTTGTGCAATATTCTAAACCCTTTTATTTTGTTTCATTGAAATTTTATATTGAATGTCTGAATTATTGGTGCCAGCATCCTGATTACCTTGGCAATCTTTTCTGATTAGTACAACAAAATTAACAATAATAATCATACTATATCACAGAGGAAAATATTGTGGACCTTTACGGCTACTGTTATATTTTGTGCATTTTCACCCTTTAATAATAATGTTCGAACCCTAACCGCTTCAATGTGCCGTGTCCATTCATGGCATAAGCTATACTAGCTCTCCACAATTTCCTATACTTTGCAGCTCTAAGTAATGTTTATCCTTTACTATCGCTCAAGGCTCTAGTAACACAAAATTGCCTGTGCTTGCTTTCCTTTAATAATAATAATTTAATAATAATAATAATAATAATAAAAATTTCACTTTGTCTAAAATTAATAGAAGGCTTATAAAATTCGATGTTAAAGACATAGGAAATGGAAAAAGTCCCAAAAAGAAACCTTATTGGACGTTAAGTATCTAGAGAGGGGGGTCTTTATATATATATATATATATATATATATATATATATATATATATATATATATATATATATATATATATAGTGTATTGGGGCAGAAAATCATTATTTAAACATATATTGTTAAATATAACAGACAATTAATGTCTATTATGTTTGATCATGAGACGTTTTAAACTCCGTATGATTGCTTTAATTTTAGGTGAAATATAACAGGCAATGGATGCCTATTATTTTTTTTATTAATCTCTTCCTTGAGCTAAGCTTTCGACTCATATGAGCCATACGGACATTTTGACAAATATATTCACCATCGAAGATAATATTTTGTTATGCTGACATAGAAGATTGCTATGCGACGATAACGGTCGCGGAATAGCAGACGCAGGTCATAAGTTCAAGATGCGGTTCTATGACGTCATACCACGTGAGAGGCTGAAATATTAAGAATAGAATCATATGACTAGATGCAATGTAATGTATTATTTGTCATCGCCACGATACCAATGAACCTAAAACTGAAACACTTCAAATTATATCCCCCAATCCCTTCGCATTCCTTCGATAAAAATAACAAGGTCGAGCAAATCAGCTCCTTCTCCATAACTGTTACATTGTGTAACAATCTCTCGAGAGAATACTTCCCTCATATCTGCCCTCATAATATTCTCCCTACTTGTCACTTCCTTCACCCAATAACCCTCTACCTCGAGTGGCTCTTAGACCTTATATTGATTAGTCATGCCCTTACTGAATGAGGGTGACATGAAACTATATTCTAATAACAAAAAAGAACTGGCAACTTGAAACAAAATAATTAAATACATCGAATGGAATTCAGGTTAAAGAACTGCATAATATCAGTCTTCTTATATGGCAGTAAATGCTAAACAGTCCTCTCACAGACGAAAAAGAGACGAGGCAGCAGAAATGCGGTTCTACAGAAGGATGCTGAGAACACTATAGACCGAATATGTAAACAAGGACAAACTTCTAGAGACAATGGCAACAAAAAGGAAACTTATACTTGACATCAAGAAGAAACAGTTGAAATTTCTGTGGCACATAATGAGGAAGGGTGGCTTGGAAAATTTGATACTCACAGGACAGATTAAAGACAAGAGGAACAGAGGAAAACAACGCATAACATAATTTGTGAGATTGTGTAAATGGATGGCGGAACAAAGTTTAAGAGAGATAACAAAAAGGCAAAATTTATTAAGAGCTAAAAGGACATTGTAGAGAGCCATGTTCACCTACGTCCTGAGAAAACAAAATACGTAAAGAAGAAACAAAAATAAGAGGCATAAATGTCAAGTAGTGTCACAAAATAGAAAGTTAAAACATTAAAATCAGCCAAAAGTCTGCCCTTATAGTGGGTACCTCCACAGAGTCGCGATACCTAATTTTATATTATATTAATATATATATATATATATATATATATATATATATATATATATATATATATAAAAGTGAACATAGAAGTCAACACTTAGAGACGACAGTCTGTTTCATGCTATATGCAATCATTGCATATAGCATGAAACAGACTGTCGCCTCTAAGTGTTGACTTCTATGTTCACTTTTATATTTACACACTCTGTCTCTGATATTAAGCACTTTATCCCATAAATATAGCACATCTTAAGACTATATTTCTTCATATATATATATATATATATATATATATATATATATATATATATATCTACTTTTGTATTGAGCACTATTTTTTTAAAATAATAACAAAAAATACTAAAGAACTTTGGATTATTTACCTAACGAGTTCTTTCCTATTTTCTATATATTTTACACACACACACACACACACATATATATATATATATATATGCGTGTGTGTGTTTGTGTGTGAATGCAAAAAAATGATTTTAGTGATGTGTTTCGTTCTGATAAAGAACTTCTTCAGATTAATAACGTTGTTATTGATAGAGTCAGTGAATCAGTTTTATAAAAAAATCACTTTTATAAAAAAAAAAAAAGAGAAGGTGTGGCGAGAAATGCAACAAAACACGATTGCTGCAGACGTCAAAATCGACTTCAGATTCTGAACGTATAAAGCATAAAAAATGAAACCAGAGACACGATACCTAAGGTTTAAAATTTTTTTTTTTTAATAAAAAATCTTTCTTGAAGCTTTTATTTTAGTCTTAATTTCCAACAAATAGATCAAATTTAATATTTCCAATAAGCAAAATACTTCGCAATATTTCAAAATTTTAATTGGAAGGAAATATTGTTTTGAAATCGTAAAAATTGCTGATTTTAGTGTCATTTTATCACAATGTAATTCTCTTTATTAAAAAAAAAACTTTAAAAAGTAAAATATATTTTGTTGAAACTTTATTTGATGAATATTAACTGATTTAAAGTTTAACTAATCTAATTTAAAACAAACATTACTTTAAGTTTAAAATATCACAGAAATGCATTTTTAACACAGCAATAGTTGTTTATTTAAGGTGTTGACAGATGTACAGCTTGACCGACAAATGGATATTTATGTAATTTCTCTCTGCTGTGAGCATATCTGTAAAAAATACTTGAGGAATATAACGTAAGCGCCACTTTTAATGTAATTTTTAACTACTAAGTAATCTTAAAAATTTAGGAAAATATTCTCTGTGAATTATGTTTTATTGAATTTTAAGTATTTTGACTTTAAATTTACTATAATGATCGCTCTTCTTTTCTGATAATGTCGTGTATGGATGTCAGTAGTTACAAAAATAGGCACGGTTATACACGCACAAAAAAATTCAAAATTCTTTTTAAAATATTGGTTGTCGTTGAATTGTAGCAAGCTTTTCAATTTATATTCGTAAATATAATGTTTACTTAATAACAATATCACCTAATCGGTTCATATTAATACAGAATTTATAAAGATTTAAAACTAAGAATTATTCCAATTAATTTTTTTTTTATGAAAACGATTCTTGTAATAATTCATTAATCCTCGAAAATGTTTTTTCTTAAGTCAGTCGTGTCCCTATTACATATTATTCATAAAAGCAATGAAAGCTTTTCGAATTATATAATATCTTATTTTTATTACATTTTTATTTAACTGGGGGTCCACTTTGAAAAAAATGATGATTTAAGTTCACCATGGAATTCTACGTATAAAATATAAACATTTAGCGATATAAAAATTGATTTCTTGAAATTTCATAAAATTAAATAAGTGGCGAGTAATAGATATAAAAATTGTTTTACGAAGATTTTCTAAAAACAAAAACATTTCTAAAATAATGTCATTCATATGTGAATAAGCCCTGAAAGTTTCATTAAAATATTATTCGTTGTTTGCAAAAATTTCTAAATCAATATTTTTTTCACTGCAAAAAATACGCTAAAATGTCATGTACTAGTCTTTGGTACCCCAGCTGACACAAAAAAAAAAATGGATTTTAACCAAAATTCCGAACGTTCTTAAAAGAATAAAAAATACAATTTAATAATAAAAAAAATCCTTCTTAATAATGACGTCAAGGTTTTCATGATGATACTTTGTTTTTATTAAATTTGAGGCCATTTTCTCGTCATGGCATGATCATTTTTAGCGAATCTCTGGAGGTACCTACCTTAGTTTCTTTGATCCTAACAATCAAAATTAGTGAGTCGTTCAAAAAAGTCATTGAATGTAAGCTCAATCTCACCAAATGCTCCATTCATTTGACCTTGTACCAAAATGTATTCCACCAGAACTAAATCTCTGTTAAACCTTTTGAAAGCCTTTTTACATCCACCCTTATCACAAGCAACTACCCGCCTTTCTCTCAATAGGTAATAACAATTCTAGCAGTTGTATTCAACTGTGGTATTTACTGGATTTTATTGTATCCCGAGATAATAGCAATTTTTATGCGCTGGTCTGGACTTGTTTATATTCACCAAAGGAAATCGAGCAACGAACGAAGAGTTAAAAAAAAAACAGTACATATAAAAATGCGCATGCGCGCGCACACGCAAACATATACGCACGCACTCTTACTCATTCATACACACTCACACCCCTCTCCCTCTTTCTCACACACATACCCTCTAAAACACGCATATTACTCTCTCACACACATAAACACACATTATATAATACACATACATAAACATTCTTTCACACACACACACACACACACGCATACTCTCTCAACCGCATACGGTGTCATATATATCTTAGACAAGACATTTTCCACCTCCTTGTCAATGCAATTAATATAAACAATTTTTACACTAATCACGTCGGTCGACAATTGTACAGTGAAAATTTCGGCACAAAATTTGACTGTGACAGGTTGAGGCCTTAATTACAATTTGCTATTGATTTCCGTCAATCCTCACTGGGTGTGAATAAAATACGAGAGATATTCTGAATTTTTTCTCTTGACCAAACTTACCTTCTTCGTGTTGCCGTTACACATTATTATTATTATTATTATTATTTCTTTTGATTTCTAGTGTATATATTAGGTTGGTGCAGAAATAATGACGTAAGAATGTCGTTTTTTAACGTTAAAAAATAGGTCAAAAACGACATTATTACGTCATTATTTTTGCACCAACCTAATACATTTCCATCGCGGTCCCAAGCAGACAGCGATGGTCAGAAATGTCTTCATGACATTTTCCACTGAGTATTTTTGTAAAACAATCTAATACCACACACATTTTACATAGATAAAGCTCTTCCTAATGTGTGAACTGTACTTGTGATTACAATTCTTTGTAATTCTTTAAAGCATAGACTACCGGGAATCAATTCAATATTCCTTCCCAATCAACCCGAGGGCTCCAACTACAACTCGAATTATTAATTCACATTTTGAGATTTCTACATCAATATCCTTGTATTTTGTTAGTTTATGAAGATCTTCAAAGATACATGACAGTCTGTAGGAACTGCACATTCTGTTTTTGTGGTATTTGATCACTATGTCTTGACGATTAGCTTTTATTTATTTTTTATACAGTAAAGGTCATCCTGTACAAAGCCCGGAGGGGTCACTTGAATGTTACGTTTGGAGACAATTTGTGCGTATAGGAGTGGAAGATAACGTTTAACCCTAGCCTTGAACAAGTTAAGACTGTGGGGGAAACATCCTCTTTGGAGACGGTTCCACAGGGCAATGGTTCGATGGGAAGAAGCTGTTCGAGTGAAACTTACTTCTCACCAGTGGAATACAGAGCAAATATGGGTGATTTGCTACTATGTAGGTGGCATAGCGGGTCCTAATCGTGAAGGTTTGCCTCAGCGGGACCAGGGAATATAGATCGACCGAGCACTTTCTGTGGAAGTATCCAGAGAGCAGCAAGAGGCTTGCAACATCCCGCCTGTAGGGGAGAGGTTGGAGGATGGAGAATAGTTCGTCACCCACAAGAACTCAAAGACGATTTTGGAATAAAAAAAAGAGTGAGGTCTGAGCAGCGCTCGGCCAAATATGACAACAGTACTCCATTTTTGGCCTGATCTGGCTCTTGTAAAGGTACATAGCAGGAGGAGTCAGGTACTTACTGGAGCGATACAGAGAGCCGACCATTTTACCTGCACCTTTGGCAATGGATCGTATGTTCGAGTTCCACTTGAGGTCAGGTGTGAGTTTGAGGACTTTCAAGGCACAATTGTTTCAGGTCTTATGTCTGTAAGCGAATCTGGATAATGTCCATCCTAATTTTTGGAGCAAATGTCGTAATAGTTGCATATTTTCTAGTACAAATATTGGCTCACCCTATCATACCGAGTTTTATTTTCAGTGGATGCTAATACCGTGGAACCTGATAGAAGATGATCAATTGTTTCTGGATATTCACTACAGAATCTGCATTTCGGGTTAACACAATTTTTCACCATGTATCCCTTGATAATTTCTAGTTAGGAAGCATTTGTCCTGTGTTAGGCAAGAATAAAATCTTCGGTTCCAGCTTTTAATGCTGCACTACAAAACCAATGATGGTTACAGGAGTTTGGAACGGGCAGAGTATTGGCCATGAAGAGGGCTTATCCTGACATCGTTTTTACATTTGCTTTTATCTTCTTTTTTGAGATTATTTGCCACTGTAGTATGTGGTTTATGGCTTATAGTTTACTTGCTCGTCTTCATCCATATTAGATTCCCATCATCATCATCATCATCATCGTCGTCGTCATCATCATCATCGTCGTCGTCGTCGTCGTCATCATCATCATCATCGTCATCAACCTTCTTCTTGCCATTTTTCTATTTTTTCCTTAGTCTTCAAACTTCTATTTCGGCTTAGTCTTTCAATAAGTTTTCTTTTTTCCTCCTACTACTCTTTTGCTTCATGCTTCTTCTTCTTCTTCTTGCTTCTCCCTCTTTTTCTCTTTCTTCCTTTTTTCATTCTACTTCTTTTTCTTCTTCATAGATTCAAACTCATTCTTTTTTCATTCTACTTCTTTTTGTTCTTCATAGATTCGAACTCGTTCTTCTTCTTCTTGTTTCTTCCTCTTTTTCTCTTTCTCCTTTTTTCATTCTACTTCTATTTCTTCTTCATAGATTCAAACTCCTTCTTCTTCTTGCTTCTTCCTCTTTTTCTCTTCCTCCTTTTTTCATTCTACTTTTATTTCTTCTTCATAGATTCAAACTCCTTCTTTTTCATTCTACTTCTTTTTCTTCTTCATAGATTCAAACTAATTCTTCTTCTTCTTCTTCTGTGTGTATTTTCCTTTTGAATCTTCCTCTTCATTCAATAAAATATCGCTTTCTTTTCCTTTGTTATCTACTCTTTCTCTCTATCTCTTCTTACCTTCTTGTATTCCCTCTTTATCGCAATCTTTCAGTGGCTATGGAAAATATTTTGCATCCCACCTTTATCATTTAATCTCCATATTTGGAAGTATAATTTTGTGACCAATCAACAACCTATTTTCGAAGTAATTCGGCTTCTTCAAAAAGTTTACGACTTATTGGAATTTTAAGTACAAATTTCATATTTGGAGGTGCAGCAAAGTGTGATCATTACCGACACAGTAAATAGAATCGGCTGTGTTCGAAACTCATCTGAGACTATTTGCGTTCTCTTCGCACTAATGCCCTAGGGAAAGGTATGAATACAATTCTATCGCCTTGGTTAGCTACTAGTCCCCCTCTTATATATCTTCTTCTTCTTTTTCTATGTACCGTGTCCCTTCAGAACATGAGCTATCAAGGCTCTCCACAGATTCCTGTTCTTTGTAAGGTTTGTCCTTTCACTCTCCCTCCATCATGTTCTGGTATTCATTTACAAAAGTTCGTTAAGTAAGTTCCTCGATTCAATGTCATGTGAGTGTCAAATTCGCCAATCCCATTTTCCTTATTATCTGTCCTAAAAATTCCACCTGTCACGTTCTGATTCTAAGTGTCATTTTTGTTTGTATTTTCCTTAAAACGTTCACTTTACTCACATTCTCAGTCCATGGTATTCTCAGTATCCTTCTGTAGAAGCAGAGAAAACTGAAAAGCACAAATTCCAAATCAGGAGTGGAGCGAACATTGGTAAAACCAACCCTTCTTTTTTGGCAAAAACTGTAGCTAAAAATGCTAGCAATGGCCACGTATGATTGTTAGAGTGACAAGAACAATTGGAGACCGAGCTAGTAGGAATGTCCCTGTCTAACGAGCCAAGCATTTGTTGTTTTTTTTAAATGCTCGCACAGATTACTGTACAAATATCCGATTCCAAACGATGACAAATCAAGATTATTGAATAATGTTTATAAGCTGAAAATTCGTGTTGCTTATGAAGAATGTGAACAGGAAAATATTACCAGTTTCAACCATCTCCTTCGAAACAGTCCCTTCCCTACTATTCTGTATCGGTTTACATACAGGTGTAGATAGTTATTGCTCCCAAGGGGCTGAGGCTAAAGTCCGTACTATATTCGATTCACAGGCACTGTTCAAATTCCCCGAATTTTTGGAGATTGCCTTTTAGATTATCCAAAATAAAATGTCTTCCAGTGTATAAAATGACCATGGAATATTAGTGTTTAAGCCTTTTTATTACACACACACACACATATATATATATATATAGAAAAAGTTGCAAATTGAAAAAATAATAATGTTCTTTTATGAAAGTATTTATTTATTAGTATATATATTTTTGATATTTCAGATTGGTCTCAATATTTCTTCAGAAATAACTGTGTGTTTACAAGTAGCGTCCGTCGCGAGATGCGGGCGTCACGTGATATGGAACAAATATTCCTAACGTAAATCTAACTGTAATAACATGTATCGATAAAAAGAATACCCGCTCGGCCCGGTGGCTAGGATCAAGGTGTAGTATCTGCGCTTTGTGAGCTGCCGGGTCGGGTGTCTGTCGAACTCTCTGCTTGCAGAGAGGAACCCGGACGAAGCTCCGCCGAAGGGTAGGGTTTCGTTGGGGGAGGTTGACGGAACTGGCCCGCCTCGGCGGGTTTGGATGGTTATTTATTTTTGGCTGGGCCTACGGGCTCAGAGATACCCACATTAAAAAGGCCTTGTGCCAGATTCGGTCCCCGTGGGTGGATTGATAAATACCATCTAACTGTAATAACTGTTACTCTTATGTCCGTCTTATCGTATTTTATTTATTTTATGGATTTTATACGATACCAGTCAGAACTTAGCATCCGTATTGTTTGTTTCTTGAATGGGTTGGACAATCTGTGTTGACCTACGTATCTGATAAGTTTTTTTTTTCCTTTTTAATTTTTGTTTAAAAGCCTTTTGTTTTTGATTTTTTCTGTACTTGTGCTTATTTTTTTTTTCTTGCCTTTTTACCCCCCTCACTGTTTTGTTTGCCTTCGT